GCGTAGGTCTGCTCCCTGCTGGTAAGTGGACATCCCCCGAAGGCTGCCGAGCTGCCAGCGGGATGTCTGACTGCCAGCTTGGGCCCAATCCCCCAGGGAGCGGGAATAAGCCAGCAGGTGGACATCCTCCGGGGGATCCCAGACTGCAAGAGGGCATAGACTGGGCTGAGGACCCCCCCTCCCCCCCCCGAGTGCACAAATTTTTGTGCACCGGGCCTCTAATATATATAAAACCAACAGATGTAAAACACTTCAACTCCATGTTTCCCTCCTTTCTTTACTAAACTTATTTCCATTCTTCACTTCCCATTCACTCCTCAGTGCACTCCCATCTAACTTTTGCCTCCATTTCCCACTAAATCAGCTCACCAGCAAACTCCATGCCACTGAATCTAATAGATTCCTTCCATTTCTCCTCCTGGCCTCTTGGCAGCATTCAATATTAGGGAGCAATCCCTTTTGAAACAATATATTTTCTTGACTCACCCAACACATCTTAGTTGGGTGATTTTTCTGTCTTTCTGGTTATTCCTTCTCTTTCTTTAGAAACTTACCCTTTTTTTACCCAGCTTTTAAATATTGCCATTCTGCAATGCTCCACTTAAACTCTTCCAAATCTATAGCTAAAGCATGAAGTGGTTCTATCCATGTCCACAGTTCAATTATCATGTATACACAGATAAGTCACAAATTTTTATCTCTAGCCCTGTATGCTAGTTGCCAGCATGATATGCCCACTGAACTAAAACAAATTTATTAACCAAAATACATTTTTAACACCAAATTATCTATATGACATTGTAGTAGATGCAAAGGATTATAAGTTATCATCCTTGTCTTCAAGGAGCTCACAGTCCAAAAATGCAGAGACAGGCCTTGTAATGGTTAAGGTTGTGGGCTTGAGTCCTAGACAGCTGGGTTCAAATCATGGCTCTACCACTAGTAATGAAATGACCTGGAGTAACTTAGCTAGCTTCCATGGGCATTAGTTTCCCCTTCTGTAAATTGGGGGTTAACAAATCTTTCCTTACAGTGCTGTAGCAAAAGTGAAATGGAATGGTGCAAGTTAAAGCACTCAGTGGTGCAGATACAAAGCAAACACTCTTACTATGGTAGTCTTTAGTATAGCAATGTGGTGAGGTGTCAGAATACAAAGTAGCATATGCCAGTGCCAAGACAGTTCTGTAAACACAAAGTGTGGGAGCATCAAAGGAAGGAGACAGACCTGTGTGCTGGGATGGTTGGCCTGTAGTGGAGGATGAGTTAAATTCTCACTAAACTTTTTGATAATGAGGCAACATGCTGAGATGGAAATAGTAGAGGGTTGATAGTAGGAGTACAGGAGTTTAAACCAGCTTTACCTCTGAATTGTTATAATTTTTGATGAGTTATAATTTTTAAACCCGGATTTTTTCATGTGTGAATTGTGGACAGTGAAATCTGTCCTAGCCACCTTATATGGTTGTCAGTAATAGATGTGAAAATATATGTACAGTAATAGATGGTATAAATTTCAGGCATTTAGTGCTGAATTGGTGTACCTTGGTGGAGAGTGTGGCCTATAGAGTTGAAACACCTAAGACTGAACCCAAGGTCACATTTACTAGCTGTGACCTTGAGCACGTCACTTCAACACCAAGCTCTAGTTTTCTCATCTCTAAAATGGAAACTGTGTGCCTTGCCTCATTATAATGTTGTAAGGATAAAATAAGTTACTGCTCGTCTGTGAGGCCCACTAGCAGCCAAGCAGGGTGAATGAAGCCCTCTCAGTTGGAGGCCAGTACCTAGAGCACTCATTCAGTGGTGACTTTAATCAAAGCCAGGATTGACTGCCCTAGGATTCTGTGTATTTAGCACATCCTATATAATAAAAGCCCAGTGACTGAAATGGTGGAACGACCAGAGACCAGAACACCACAGCCCCTCGCCCAGGCTGGCCCCGCCACCCCAGTGGGCGTTTAGAGGTGATCAGGCAGGCAGGCAGAGACGTTAGGGGCAATCAGGCAGACAGGCGAGCAGTTAGAAGCCAGCGGTCCCGGATTGCAAGAGGGATGTCCACAGGATTGGGTCTAAACTAGCAGCCGAACATCTCCCAAAAGCTCCCAGATTGCAAGAGGGTGCAGGCTGGGCTGAGGGACTCCCCCCTCCCCACCCCCTGTGCATGAATTTCGGCAACAGGCCTCTAGTATATAAATAACGTGTGACAATGTGTTGGATCCTTATTTCAGATCCTATGTTAGATATGGATATTCAAGAATTAGCCAGTCTTACTACGGGCGGAGGAGATTTGGAGAATTTTGAAAGACTGTTTTCAAAGTTAAAGGAAATGAAAGGTAAGCAGATGAATCCATTGTGCCTAACATGTTCCCATATTGATACTCCCTGGTTTTATATAGTAGGATTTTATTTGGTAACTGCTAATTCTATTCCATTCTCTGGTCTCAGCTATCTTGAGAAATGTAGTTACTGGGAGACTGTGCCATCCTCTGGTGGTAAAAATCCCCTGGGATAAATTTTCCTCTTCCTTTATTCTCTTTCCTCTTATTTTCCCTTCTTCTCTTGCCTCTGTTTCTTTCAGTGTGTCTCATTAATGTGGAGTCAGTGACACCCCTACCAATTTACTCACATAATTCCCATCTGGAGAATTTGTAAGACTTCAACTTCCTCACAGCTATAATGACTACACCATAAGCATGTCTTTGAAACCCATCTCCCATCTCCCAGTGTTAGAACATTGTACACTCCAGATTCTCTTGTGCTATTAGATGAATTTCTTAAGATATATTTTCCCCCTAGACAAGGCTGCGACGCTTCCTCACGAGCAGAGAAAGTTGCATGCAGAAAAGGTGAGACAATCAGTCAGGTATTTATTACCTACAAAAGGTCCATGCTGTTAGAATTATAGCACTTATTGATTGATTATACTTTTTTATTTATAAAGTGTCTTAATGTGAATTTTTCATTGGATTTTAACTTATAACTA